CTCGTTTCACATCAATTTGGCAGGAAAGCCAAAGAAGTTGGTTCATAAGTCAATACAATTCCCGTTGAAGGAATCATCGAAGCTATACGCAGTTTTCAGGAGCCCCAACAGCAAGGTAAGCGGCCTGCCTACCTATAGTTTGGTGCCCGGCGATAAGCAGAAGAGACTAGCAGCCAGCTCGTGCCGGGCCTTTCTAATCCTGCCAAGCAAGCACAGGTCACTACAGCGTAGCCAGGCCAAGACCGGTATCCATGGCTTGAAGTCATGCCTAAAGCAGCCAAATGCACCTAAGCGTCGGAAGGTCGTTCGATTCAGCTGTGACGTTTAGTGTTGCAACATTCAAATTGAAAAGTAATCGAATGTCTGGAGTTGCATATCGAATCATATTCAGATTGGCTAATTTCAAACAAGATTTTAACCCAAATTTGTAGATATTTCTAAAAAACTTTTTTCACATTTTAATTAAAAAAACTCGCATTGATTCGTAGCGATCTAAGAAAACTATTTCCGAGGATCTTTTGCTTATTGCTGTCTCTTTCTCTCCTTCCGTTAACAGCCTTAAACACATGCCTTCTGGTGTCAGGCCCTTTTCAATTTAATATACTGTTAAATATCATGCAGGAATTTTAGCAAGGTCTTCAGCCCGCTGCCCTCTGCCCTCTGCCCTCTGCCCACTGCCGACGCTTGTTTACGATAACTTTTGTCGTTTCTTTTTGCTCGGTGGCTCGTGGCCTGTAGCATAATTTCGCTTTCCAGGCGCATATCCGGATAAGTTCAATGGTTAATAATGAGGGCGAACGTAAGGGGAAAGGGGCGTGTACCCCGCTACGGCACGCCACCTCCCACTCCCCGCTGCGTGGGTGATGGCCCGAGGATTAGGAAACGCTTCGTGCCAAAGTCAATGCGGGCAAGCGGATATTCGTAACAAGACCTTGCTACGCGCGCAACAGCGGGAGCAACAACAGCAATGGCATCGTGGTAAACAAATAAATAAACTCTAGCCACGCTGCTCTGGATGCAGGGTGTGGCCAAGAACTGTGACAGGAAGGACCAGGACGGGCCAGGACGCGCCATGCACGTTCCGACATTGTTGTGCGCCTTTTGAGCTCCATTTGCCGAAAATGAAGCCGAACGCAGAGCGAAACTTTGAGCTAAGCCAGTTATAAATCCCTTAGCCGCCTCCAGCGCTTCTCTGCAAATGCTTAGACTCGCATAACTTGTAATTAATTGACAGTCTGCGGTCGAAATACTCTGACAGTTTTATGGCACTGAATTATAAAAAAATATATAAAAAGTAAAATATATTTATGTATATTGTGCATAGGCAAAACGAAATTTGCACCACACACAATATCGCCCTTGTGACAGATTGGACTTGATGTAGGTAAAAGGCTTGCCACTGCCTCAACCTCGGCCTTTTCCTTTATTCGACCAGGCAAATTTGTTGCGGCGTTGACATTTTCATTGCACAACATGGGGCGGGCACCTCGACTCGGACTGGGACTAATAAAAAACAATAAAAACATTTTCAATTTGAGTGTTTTCTTCCTCTGCTTTTTCCCCTTTTTGTCAAACTTTTTTGACAAAGTTGAACAAAAGTTGGCCAAGCGTTGAAATCGCTGGGTCCTTCACATTGCCGAGCCTCAACTTCGGCTCGATTCGCAACTGAAACGCATTGCCTCTCCCTGACTTATGACCATTGGCAAAATGCTAACAATTAAGCCCAAACTTAAAAATCGATAAACGATTCATAAGCTGCCGATGCCAAAAAGAGAAAAGTGAAATATCTTAAGATCTATCATTGTTCCCGTGTTAAAGTGCTAGCAAGCCCAGATTTTTATTTTATTTATAGTATTCCACATAATCAAGTAAACAGTTCAGCTATGATTGATTATATTGCTGCCTAACTAAACAGTCGCTAAAGTGGATAGCTTTAGGTCCAGGCAATTCAGTTAAAAACGATTATGATCTATGCTTTGAAAGGAACTTTAACACACAAATAAGTTCGTATCAAAGTGATTTCTGAATATCATTGTTAATCACAGAGAGCACACAAAGGAATGCAAAAGATTTCAGAAGCATCATTGAATCGCTTGCCACATGACGAATCAAAGTTCACATTGTCTGTGTGCCAATGTGTGTGTACGTGTGTGCGTGTGTGCGTGTGTGCGTGTGTGTGCGCATGTCAAAGCAATTTGTTGAACCCAAATAGAAATACCAAGCCAAATGGCACGTCACTTCTACCCTCTTCAGCAGCAATTCGGCCATAACGTATACGTAAAATATTCATAAATTGCACATGAGGCAAACCCAAATGAGATAATAAGCCCTCTCGCCAAGAGGCTCTGGATGGGAGCCAGGCCTAGAGGTTTCAGCGAATCCAGATGCTATATGCGTGTCCTTATGCTCTCCTTGTGTCTTTTTTGTGTCTGGTTCTATCAAATTAAGCGCTCACACACACACACTCACACACATATTAATGATATTATTGACGAGTGATTGAGTTTGACTGCCACACACTCTCGCACACACACACATGTGTAGTTTCGCGTTATGGTAATCGACTTTTAGGCATAAATATTATAAATCGATGCAATTATCATCAGCCTTATTGTTGTCGTCCATAATCATCATCGAGCTGATTATTACGCTCAGCGTGATCATCATGAGCGTCGTTTGTTGTGCCACTTGTTGCCATCATCCTGTCAGTTTTATGGGCACCAGACATTCACTGAATTGCCATATAAATTATACAAATTGTCGCCAGAAATGTAGCAGTGCGAGTCTATTGGCTCGACATCATAAATGCCGCATATAATTGCCAAGCCGACCGACCCAATAATGATATATGCACCGACCACAGCCATTAGCCATATCCCATGGCTGAACTACTTAAGCTAAGGGTTTTCGGCACAGAGCCACCTGCTCGGCCCCAAGTGCTGGCACTTCAGCCACTTTGCCAAGTGGCAAGTGACAACTGGGAATCCCAATTCCCAATTGGTTTCCCCTGTGCCACTTCATTAGCTCGCCTCGAATGAATGAATACAAATGATAATCTTGTTGCTCTCTTGTTTAGACTCATAAATTCATTTACAATATTAACAGCAAAATGTTTTGGGTCACTTCTATAAAGTCCTCTGCCTGCTCAATATTACGAATATACACACGTAGTATATGCATATATGTATGTGTGTATGTATATATATATTTCCATTATTTTAATGGAAACTTTTCTGCTTTACAAAGTTTTGTAGCCTGCAGTTGTATACCCATATATATATATATATATATATATATATCTTAAGCAACATTTTTACTAAGGCGCACAAAGCACTCCAGTTCCCCCCTCTCTCTCTCTCTCTCTCTCTCTCTATCTATCTAAATCTATATATCTAAAATAAATTAGTTTGCATAGCTGATATCTTACAATAATATTCATAGTATCAACATTTAATAAAAAAATTAAATAATAAAAAAAGCAATAAAAAATCTAGCCATCTTAGAAGATAACCTGTAGTCTATAAGAGCCTGATATAGTATTATATATATAACGAGTTATAGCAATAAAGGGTTTGTTGTCTTAGTTTCTCTACTCGATGCTGCCTCTGACGCTTAGTCGCTTGCTTACAGGGAACAGAAATGCAGCGAGCTACGCTAAATTTGATAGTTATCGATGCCAAGCAAGGAAAATGAGGGTCTAAATATATACAGAAGCATAAAGACAGAGAGAGAGAGAGAGAGAGAGACAGAGGCAGAGAGAGATAGACAGTAAGGAGAAAAACATGAACACGTTGAGTATATCAAAAAGTTGCAACACTTTATGGCCCATAAATATTTATGTGTGTTGTTGTCGTTGTCGTGGGCGCACTTTAAAGCCCCATGTTGCAAATATTTTGGCAGCGAAATAGAAGCGCAGTTGACAAGCCATGTTAACGAGTTTCAAATTGGCCCACACACCATCAAGCGTGCAGGCAACACAGCCAACCGGCCATAGTCACACCCACAGCCGCAGCCACAGCCACAGCTCCAGCCCCTAAGCCCCACATTGTTTGGGCGCCTTGCCATGAACCGCTGCAGTTGCCATTTGCCAGTTTCTAGTTGCTAATCAGACCGTTGGGGTTTCACCAGACAATGGCAATGTGAATGCAAACGAAACGGCAGCTCGTTGTATAACAACAGCGGCCACACACACATGACGACCAGCCATCGTGTGGCAGCCAACACTGCAACCATTTCACGAACCGTACCTAATGAGATAACCTGCTTATTCTGGCCAAGAGAGAGAGAGAGAGATATATATATATATTTTTCGCCTTTCATTCAAACTGGGGAACCACAAACAACGATTAGTTGGCGCTTCTTGCATTGCATCTACAAGAAATGTCATTCTGGCATATCTATGAGCTATATGTCGACAGATGTGTTCATAAAAATAGTAGTGCGACTCAGCATTGCACATCAAAATGCACACAATATTTTGAGAGCGAGATTACATATTTCTTATTAAATTTGATAAATCACAATTCACAATTTCAGATAGAAAAATTAACAAACTATTGCTGTGCATGAAAGTAGTAGTAGCTACTGAAAGGAAAAGGATTCAAGGGCATAAATTGAAAAGGTCGCATTTGATTATTATTGGGAAATGATAGAAAAAATTCTGTTTATATTCGATTTGATTTTCTAATAAAGGTTGCAAAATTCCAGCTAAAAATGGTTTGTTTTCACGCAGCAACAACAACTGAATACGCTTCAAATTTGCTCTTCAAAATGCTAACGCAAAATTCCATGAACCTCATTGAGAGTGGAACGCATGGATTATTGTCTATGGATATGGCACGGCAAGTAGCTTAATGCTGTAACGGTCTGTTGCTTTCACTTTGATCTAAGCACAGGTACAAAGTGCACACAAATTCATACACACGCACACACACACACGTGTGACAACGCGTAATTTTTAATAAAGCAAAACGTTAAGCCCGTTCTGGCTGAATACTCACCCCAAGCTCCACGTACATCGTATAAATGGGATAGGGCAGCGCAATTACCATACCAGTAAGCCAGGTGGCACAGCAACAGACGAAGCCAGGTATCCGGCCCTTGAGCGGATCATTCAGCCAGCGCATGCGATCCCAGGCAATGAGAATGTGCGATATCATGGCCACATGTATCGGTATGTCCTGCAAGTCCAAGAAAGCAAACATGAATACAGTCACAAATATATATACATATATATTTAGGTAGCTTAGATGGGATGGGAGAGATGTTGCCCCCATCATCTTTGCTTTTACTTCGGCCCAGGCAACCATTTTTCGGCCATGTGCGGTGATTGAAACAAATTTGTTTGCCTCTGATTGTTGTTGCACCAGTGGAGCACGTTGGGCTCGCTTCGTTGAGCATGTATTCATATATGTGTGTGCCAGTATATGTTCATGTATGTGTCCTGGCAACCTGCAGACATTTGCCCATCTTGTTATGCCTCAATGCGAAAACCCAAAGATTTGCCCGGCTATCCATTTCGGCTAGGCCTTTGCTTTGTTTATTTATTTGCTTGAGTTCAGATTGGATTTTGTGACAACACCTCACCCACACATGTGCGTGTAGCTCAGTGTGTACATCATATATTTAACAGATTGTCTGGCATTTGGCAATGGTCAACCTATTCACCTAAGTATACCCAAACACTCACACATCGCAATACAAAGTCAAATAAAGCATGTATCAGTTAGCCCAGAGCAGACTTATTACACTTGCAGTCATAATATTTTACTCTAACTTCATTTGCTTAACAGTCTTCTTAACGGCCGTCTAGACTAAGGCCATTTGCGAGTCCTACTGGCAGACCTAATTTAGCAGAGTATAGACCGGTCGGATCTTAAGAGAGCTACCCAATCGATATGCCACGTATATCAAAAGCTAATGGCATAATGTATTACTCTTGATCTAAAGGACTAAGCGCTTCTATAGCACTTGGTTGTAGCTGAAAGGTTATACATATATACATATATATATATATATATATATATATATATATATGCTTATACTCAGTCTAAGTGACAGTACGAAAGCATATCAGAGTTAGCTGCATTCGATTTACATTCCATGTCGATTCAGTGGGTTCTGAAACATTGAAATTAAGCAGAATAATTGTCGCAAATGGAATGCGCATTTATCTCGAATTGACTTGAAATAAGGAAATTTAAAGGCTCATCGAAGTAAATTGCAATGTTTGCGGATTGTCTGCGGCGCCAATGGCATTAATCAATTTCGATGGGCTCAAGGGCACGATGCCAACATACAAATCCAACTCTCTCTCTCTCTCTCTCACAGTGAGTGTGTGTGTGTGTGTGCGTGTAAATGCCACAAATATCCGTTTACATGTGTGTCTGTGTGTGTGTGCGCGCTATTTGTCGCCCATTGTGATAGCAATCAAATCGAATCATATCCGTTGCTTGACATTTTGTCCAACTTTTGTCCCAGCTGCTGCTGCTGCTGTGCTGCTGCTGCTGCTGCTGCTGCTGCTGTTGTTGCTGTAGGTGTCTGTAATTCAATCTCAAAGCTAGTCGCCTCTGCTGTGTGCACATGATTTGATGATTTCCTATTTGGAAACTCTCTATATAGGAGTCTTCACATAGAGTTAGTGTAAGTCGAGGTTTTGCAGAACTCTGGAACTCTGAAGTCGTGCTCTCAATGGTTCTGATACGGTTCTTTCAAGAAATTCAATGGTAAACTAGCTCGTAATATATCGACTTTAATATCCACTGACAAAATGAAATAACAGTAAGAGACAACAAAATTAATCGACTTATCGAAAGTTCTTATTTGTCCTGTGACATTTATTTTCGTCACACGCTGAGCTGAAGACATTAAATAAAAGTGGAAAAACAAATTGAATGAGAGTAAATTTTATTTTGTGTTCCCACACTGTATGATGTACCTGCAGCTGGGAGATGTGTCAATCATTGTGGCTTTGACAATAAGATGCGGCAGGCGCTATTATGTGGGCCAAGCTCTCACAAGGCGTTGAGCCGAGTGTGGACTGGCAAATCGCAACATTCTGGGGCTAGAGGTGACGTTACGGTCTTTTGATTTCCAGGCGCGCCCTTATCGGAACAACATGCCAATTAGGCTCAGTTGGTAGCCCTTTGGCAGTCGCTCAAATGAGAGTTGAGTCAGTCGAGCGAGCGTGTAAATTGAATACAATTGAATTGAATACCTATTTTAGTCCTGTATGAATCCTGTAAAATATACGCATCTTGTAGCTTAAAATAAACTACCTTTCGAGCAGTTCAAGGCAAAGGCAAGGCATCACCGTCTGCCACTTTCACAGTTTCTTTGATCCGAACTTTATGGCAATTTGATGAGTGCCTAATTAGTACCGAGAAATTGTTGACTTGAGTGGGCAAACGCATGAGTTATAACTGCTCAAATATTGCGGCACTTGTGGTTACCTCAAAAGCCAATTAAATGTCCTGCCCGGCCCAAGCCAAACAGCAAATATCTTTAACTTCTGATTAAATATTTGCCGAGCTCACAAATATTTCGCATGCAGCCGACTTTTTGCGAGTTGTGATGTTGATTTACAAATACGCAAAACGCTTTAAATATAATGGAAATTATTATCCCTGCCAGCAAGATGACAAGCTAATGGGCGAATATTTATATGCATAATCCAGCAAGCCCCGCATATGTTATGCATGCATGCATCCATCCACTGCATATCGATAAGCTGCCTGCATTGCCAGTGTTAATGGAAAATATGTATATAAGCATTTACTACTTACTGTAATGTAATGTAAATGAAACATTGTATATATGAAACATATATATATGCAAACAAATATCGCATTGCACTCACTCAGGTTGAGGCACGTTTCAGTCGAGGCAAGCCTTAAACTGATGCCTCGTCCATATGGCAGGAGCAGGACTATCGCTTTACTGAATCAGCTTGTAGCTTAAGTTGCTATGCAAGCTGATAGCTCTATTCAATTCGAGCCAAAGCTAATTCTTGCCCCATAATTAATATAATTATTGCATTTTATTGCAGAGCCATCAAAGGCGAAGTAGTCGAGCAGCGACTCGCACCTCAATCTCAAGCCAAAACTTCTTCATCTATTTCTTTACATTTAATTCCTTTCGTTTTGTAACTTAAGAAACCCGAAACTGCAAAGTCAAATAGAGATTTAAATGAGATACTATTGTAAGGCGTTGGCTGCAAAGTGAAAATGAAATTAAGAGAAGCTGCACAGATGGCGAAAATCCCAATAATCATTTGAATTCATTGTTTGCACTAGGTTCATATTTTAGTGTCTTATTGGCTCTTATCTATTTCTCTCGGACCGTGCTCTACTTTGTTTTCAGCTACACAGACGCGCCCCACGTTCCGCCTCTCGTCGCTGGGCTGCGTTTGCCATTGTGCGGAGGCCAGGCCATGTCAGAACCGATAAAGCAGACTGCGTTAAGTTTATTAACTTGTCATAGTGCCATGAGGTTTATCGGCTCATCTGGCCCGCTGGCAGCTTTACAACCCAGCCCAGGGGGAGAGAGCGGGCAAGAGGGAATGGAAGTTGGACTCGGGAGTCACAATAGATAACAATGCTCATGAGTAAGTTTAATTAAAATGTGCTGGAGCCAAGGAGCAGGCCGACTGGCTAGCTGACCGGCTGGAGCAATAAGTTAGCACTCACCTGCAGCATGGGCAAAAAGAAGCACAAGAACTGGCCGAATATCCAGTTCTGGAGCAGCATCACCATCAGCGAAACGGGCAAGACCAGAGCGCACTGCACGAAATGGCAGAAAGCCAAATTGATGATGAACGCATGCGTGACGTCCTTGTAGAGCCGATTATACATGATGTACACAATGATGGCAATGTTCAGCAGGACGCCCAGCAGCGCCAGAGTGGCGTACTGTATGAGAAACAGCCAATAGACCGACTTAATGCTCGCCTTCAGTATCGGCCCATTGACACGCTCCATGTCCTCCGTGTCGTTGATATGGCCGGCCAGCAAGTGCGCTATCACCATAAAATACTTGTCCGGCACATCCTTCCACTGGCTGGCGCTGGCCGCCATTTGATAGTCCTCATCGTCGGTCGCCTGGCCGTGGGGCGTGCCCACATGATGCTCAGCGGGCGGCATGCTTACCACCTGCAATTGAAAAGCGAGAGAGGCAGGCATCTATGAATGCTTTGCATGACAGCTAAGCCCGCCCACACCCAGTCCGAACAGGTAATTTTACAATAGTTAGCCAGGCAAAAGAGAAAAAAGAAAGCATTTGCATTTGTTTATTGAGTGTGAAGCAGGAATAAATAGAGCACTGTTCGTTGCATCGCACCTGGCCACGCACACCCGACAAAACAATCGAGTGAATGCAGCAAAAGGCTTAGTTCAGGTTAAACGAGTGAGAATTACATCTAATACAATACTAGACAGGTGTGAACGGAGCACAAAGAAGTTTCAAATCGGATTGGTTTTCGGAGTAAGCTCGTTGCCCAAGCAACAAAAGCGAGATACAAAAATCTCCACTTGGGTGAAATTTGATTTAAATATTAATTGATATTCTGTAACCATAAATTTAAAAACCTACTTATGTATATATATTTATATATAAAAGTATATAGTTTTAAATATATATATATATATATAATTTATATAAGTACTAAAAATTAAGCAAATAATGAAAAGGATCGATTACTTACACAAGCCAAAAAAATTTGGTACATTTTAGATACATAGAGAGACAGAGTGAGACAGAAAGGGAGAGAGTGAGAGAGAGAAAAGGGATGAGAAGAAGGGAGACGGAGATAAAAGAAGAGAGAGAAAGAGACAAAAAATAAGAGATTTAGAGACAGATATAAAGAGAAAGGATGAGAAAGAGACAGCGAGAAAGAAAGAAAAAAAGTGGGAAAGATGCATAGATAAAGAAGGGAAAAGGAAGAGAAAGAGACAGAATAAGAGAGATGGAAAACTAAAATAACTAAATAACATCAAAGAAGAGAGAAAGAGAGAGAGAAAAAGAGAGAGAGAGAGAGAGTGCAGCTTCTACTTTTCCAAACATTTGCATCTGCAAACATTTCGCATGCTCTCAATTTGCATCTTTAGCCTTCATGCAACGCGCTTTACTTACGCTGGCGGCACTCTTTGATATTGTGTTTGCAAAGCCTTTGTTAGTTCAATCATGGAATCGTCTGCTTTATGCAATTTGAGACACATGAACTCGAGTAGAAATATGGGCAAACCAAGCCCAAATGCTTTTGTTGCTTTTTCTTACTTTGCTATCCTATGGACAGACTGACTGACTGAGTGTTGGCGACAATTTTGTCGGCTGGCTTGAATGCGGCCGATGGCATTACGTGCATAAAATTTCTATTCATTCATTTGACTCATTGTTTGGCCGCCGTTGCAGTTGTTGTTGTTGCAAGTTACGCTCACTTTTGCTTTGTTCGGCATTTGCAACGGAAATTGCCAAAAGCATTGCAAACGGCACTGCATGCAACATAATATGGAAATTGAAAATCTCTATGCAACACAGAACGTCTGTCCGTATATGTACATTTGTACATATGCAGCATATAATCATGGCTGTCAGCTGAGCTGCTACCAGCTACCTACTATACAGCCGTCTAGTCTCCTCTCTCTCTCTCTCTCTGGCAGACCTGCACAAGTGCCCTGGCCGTGTAAAAGGATGTACAGACACACACATATGTCTAGACACTAGACGTGTGCATGCCACACGAAAGCCCTGCATGCACTATCGAAGTTCATATACCCTGATCAAAAGCTCAAACCAGTGCAGCTGCTGAGCGATATGAGAGACATCAGATATGGTCAGCAAACTGAATAATCGAACTTATAGCGAGTGTAATTTGATCGAGGCATGTGCCACTGGAACGAGCACCATGAGACCAAACACTTTAAGTATTCACAGCAGCTAAGCATAGCTCAAAATCTTAACAAAGACTTTAATGTGCAGATATATATATATATATACAGTATACAGACATATATATATATATATATATATATATATATATATATATATATATATATATATATATATATATATATATATATATATATATTTATGTCTATGACAAGTTGCCTGTTATATTGATAGTACCCGCTCGAGGGGCATAAAAATAAAGCCTACAACGAGGCAAGAATTTCAATCTAGATGGCTAGACAACGACAACAACAACAACTGACTCAACACAGCACACGCAGCGGCTGTCACGTGTGTGTGTTGGTGTGTGTATTGGCCAAATAGCCACAGCAGTAACCGCAGGCAAACAACACCAGCAACAACGGTTGCCCCCCGCTGCCCGCCCGGTCGACATTTGCCAGTTGTCGGTGTTTTTCTATTTTGCAAGCTTCCGCTTTTCCGCCAGCTTTTTCACTTGTTTTCCCTCGATGGCTTTTGTCTTACGTTTTTTCGCTGGCTTTTTTCTTTTCCTTTTTAAGCAGCAACTTCCGTTCAATTTATTGTGCCTAATTTTTCTTCACTTTCGAAAAATATTTGTTTGCGAACGAAGCCGTTGTCTGGGCCCTTTACCGGGTGCCGCGGATCTGAAAAGCCAATTCAATTCAATTGCGATTTCCAATTTGCATCGTGTCACTCGCGCAGGGAGCATAGTTAACTAAAGATATGAGAGCTGAGCGCTCGACAGCACAGCACCCTGTATGGCAAGCATGTCCATTTAGGCTGTCGAGCACTCGAACAAGTTTGACAAAATAAGCTGCAATAACACAAGCCAAGCACAAAAGTTGATTTTCATATAAATTAAAGAATCGAACTTTTGCCATTCAACTTAGTTCTCAAGTGGTTTAAAGGCTAAAGAACTCTGTGCAGCAAGCAAAGCCCAAAGCTGGGCATATCATTTGAAAGTCTGCTGTATAAAGTAACTTTTCTGAATTTAGATATGCAATTCGAATATTCTTTCAGAATATTCACATATTTCTCATATTTAAGCAAAATTTCTTTTGCCATCAACTGCTGAGTGGAGCACCCTGTACAAAGTGCAGGACGAAGCGTTGAGACTGCAGCGGCCGCTCGGTTTGATGACCCATGCACTGGCAACTGTTGGTGCGCTTAATTTTATTTGAACATGCCCGCAATGCCCCTTAGCCGGCGCACCCCTTACTGCCCCGCGCCTCGCTGCCCGCCCCTCTGTGCCAGCGCCAAGCAAACAGGCATCAAACATTAGTAGTTTTTTGCCCTCTGTTTGGTGCCTGGTGGAGCTTATCTGTGCCACGTTTGGGGGCACACACACACACACACACTGCATCGCACATGTGCCACAGTAGAGATGGGGCAACTCTGTTTCCATGTCTCAGTCTGGGCCTGTCCAGGCCTCAGCATTTCTTTTGGCCCGCACGTTTAGTGCACCCTGTGCCGACTGGCTGTTGGGTTTATTATACCCTTCAATGATTTATGCCCCACTGACAGGCCGCATTATGCTATGCGCTATATGCAACTAACGCCCCAGTTTCGCTTCAGCTCTTTCAGTTTGCTCATCTGCATTTGCAACGGGCCATGAAACGAGCTGAATGGCGTATAATTTTTTTCACTTGTTGAGCACACTGCACACACACCCACCCACCCACACACACCCACACACACGCACACACAAATTAACCCAATTGCTGTCAATTTGGATAGTTCGCTCTAAAAGTTCCCCCGACACTCGACGCACAGCTGAGACATTTATAATTTTATTAACTAATTTGTGCAACTTATGTGATCTGCCACACTCCGCAAACTTGCTAAATTGAGAGTTATCTGCCTACCACCCGCCCACACTCTTTCTCTATTCGCTTTTGCTCTTCTTCAAATTTTTGCTATCGTCCTAAAATGTTGATAGACAGCGCACACGTTGCGGCCTGCGGCTCTGACGCCTTTGGCAAGACGCGAAAGCTCAACTTTGTGGTTGCCTCAAAATTTAAGCAATTTTAACAGAAATTCCAAATAATCCTCAAGCCAAAGACGAACTCAGAAAGAAGAGAAAAATGGAATAATACAAAATTCGCTTAGTAATTTTCGTATTATAGCAAGCAGCTTACGAATCTCTTTTCACAATTTTCACAATTTCACAATTAAGTTTGGAATTGTCAAACATGTTGCAAGCGACGCTGCACGCATTCATTGACAATTTCCATATTTACTTTGAATTACATTACAGCATATTTCTGTGATGAATTTTCATTGTAATTATGATAAAAAAAATAAAATAAAAACACATTTTCATTTTAATTTAAGATTCATTTACACAAAGATAACGAAGGCAAAGTGCAGCAAAAAAATGTCAACGAGAATTAAAGTCAGAAATTCGTTTGACTCGCGCTCCCCTGAATAATGGGCAAAATGAGAAATCCATTAGCCAGCTGAAAGTTCGTGCGAGAACACAATCAACTTTTGCCAAAGCCACTTCATAATGCGGGGAGACATGGCTTTTGCACTCTTTCTCTCTCTCTGTTTATCTCTTTTTGTGGTCCGAAATTCGCGCAGATTTGCGGCGGTGCATCAATCACAGCCACTTAGCCTGGCCAAAAGAGGGCAATGCGATGCGCCATTTAGTTGGCCATTAGATTAGATGGCGACTATGCAGTGTTGCCATCAAAACAATTTGCCCGACCATTCCATTGTCTCTCTGTGTGTGCGTGTGTGTGTGTGTGTGTGTGTGTGTGTGTGCGTGTGCTGTTTTTGGCTGGTTTTCAGAGCCAACAAGAAGTCAAGTAATTAATACTGATTCCTACAACAGCTCACTGATGCGGAACATCGCACACTAGACGAAGGTGCCACTAACGACAACAACAGCAGCAGCAGCAGCAGCAGCAACAACAACAACAAAATGCCATGTGACAAGAACAATAACTTTATGCGTCTCAAGGCCATGCCATGACGCCGAGACTACGTTGGCCCAACTGAACTTCTTTGAATCTCTCACCTGTCGCGCAGGTTATTTGCTCGTTTAGCTTGCTCATAGCCCATTTAATTGTTTAACGCCAATTTTATTTGGCTGCCAAACTTTGCTAATTAAGCAGCTGTAGTCGACAGATTTGCAGCGTCTCACACTTAATCGAATCGCAACAGTTCTATTTCTGACTGCCTCAACTTGCAGCGAGATCTTTTAGCAACTTAATGAGAAATT